ATAGTCTCAGAAAGCCCCTGGGGCAGTTCTGCCCTGTCCTTATAGGGATACTGAGTACGGAATCGACTCAGTGGCAGTGAGTGAGATTGAGATCATTCGTGTAAGTGGGATCATACGAGATTTCCCCTTTGGTACCTGGCTTGCTATACTCAACATAATGCCTTCAGGGTTCATCCACGTTGTGACAGGACTTTATGGCTGAATCAAATTCCATTGTATATCACGTTTTCTTTATCTACTTAGCAATAGATATGCACCAAGATTGTTTCTACCATTTGGCTTGTGAATAATGGTGCTATAAACATTGGTACATTAAAAAAAAAAGATGAACAGCCTTGGGGACCCTATGGGGGCAGTTCTGTTTCATAGGGCTGCCTTGAGTATGAGATGATGAGAAGATTGAGTTAATATAAGTAAATCCCATAGACTCTTACTAGGCACATAGTAAGTACTTTGTAAATACTTATTTTTATTTATCAGTTTCACAAGACCTTACACAGAAACTTTTAATTTTTTAATTGATTTATTTTCCAGCATGTTCAATACAGCATCTATTTATCAGAAGCAAGAATACGTTTGAATTAGGCACATTAAAAGAGTATAATAGTATTTATGGGCTTCTTTTATCTTTCTATGTAAACCCAGAGCCAATGGCCAGCAAGTCAGTTCTGACCCCTGGCAGCCCCATGTGTTTCAGATCAAAACTGCATACCATGGGACTTTCTTTTCCAGGCCTGTGATCTTTCGGAAGGAGATCACCAGGACTTTCTTCTGAGGCACCTCTAGATGGATTTGAACTGCCAGTCTACCAGTGAGTAGCTGAGAACTTACCCATCTGCACCACTTAGAGGCTCCTTTATTTATAAGTAATCATAAATCCACAAGCATTTGGGTTATTGTGGGACATACAGGTAGTTAGAATTTGAATGGCTACATAGAAAGTAGCTTTTCCCATCTCATGTAGGGGTTACGGTTTTTTTAAAAAGGAGTTCAGTCTCTAGTTCAGTCTCTAATTCATACCCTGGGATGCTCAATAGACAGACTGACTTCTAAGAGATAGGGTTGCCGCCAGGTACTTTGCAAAGACCCTCAGGGGGCTGCTCCCTTCAAGCAGGCAGGGCAAGCTCCTTGATGCGAGACAAAAGAATGAGTTTTCAGAAGTGGCAGACCACTCACAGCTGCTCTGTCCCTCCCAGCTGGGAATAAAGGTACAAGGGGGCAGATGACCCTACAGTGCAGCAAGTGTCCATTGATCTCTGGAGTGTTTGATCTGCAAGCACAATCATTTGATTCTTCCTTTGGGATGAGCCCAGGCCAGTGTTCCCGTACACAGTACAGTAATGAGAAATGAGTGGATATGAACTGAGAAAAAGATGAGGAAATCTTGGTAATAGCTTCTTTTTTTTTTTTTTTTGGTTTAATAAAATCTGTATTTTCCCCATTCTAGTTGGGAGACTTCTAGTTTGTTTTATTATTACTGTTATCAAATAATTCTGGCCAAGAAGTACAATTTTCTAAGACTGCCAAGTTCCCAAGTTCATTTCCATCCATAAGTGTTGTGTACACACTGTACCAGGTATTGAACCCAGGAGCCCTAGAGGAGCTTGTCGTTCAGAGAGGAAAGAAACATGAAATTGATCATTTCTCAACAGTAGGAGAGATTTTAAATGGAGCCGGTAATTCAGATGTTCAGGTGAAGACACCCTAAAGGGAGGAAGTTATAGGGAAGGGACTGCGCACAGAGGTGCTTTCATAGTCCCCTGGGCATCCTGTGAGACAGGTAGGGAGCATCAGGGTTGACATCTTACCAGGAAGTGTGGCTCTTTCTCTCAGTTTGCCTTACTGGGGTGGCTTGCACGTTGCTGTGATGCTGGAAGCAATGGCACCTTATTTCGAACTCTAGCAGATTCATCCATGGTGAACAGGTTTCCGCAGCGCTCCCAGACAAAGACAGATGGGAAGGAGGAAGGTATGGCTATGGACTTCAGAGATTCGCCCATGTAACCCTATGGAGCACAATGAAACATTGCCTGACTCCCTGCTTCGGCCATGTCAGCAGGAGAAGCAGTCTCTGGAGGACTTCAACTTTAGTGAAGAAGAGGGCCAACAAAGAGCTAAGAGACCCTCAGAGAAATGGCTTTGGCACAATAACCGTGACGACGGACTCAAACGTACTGGCGATTCTGAGGGCAATGTGGGACCAGGCAGCATTTTCTTCTGCGCCGCATAGAGCCTCCATGACTCGGAGACAGCTAACAATTGTACCTCAGCAAACCCAAATGACACCAACCAAAAGGTAATGCCAGTTTTTCCAGTTAGTAAAACTGATCTACATAGGGAAATTGACTTAGCTCTAATCAAATTACGGTCAGTAGGCTGGTGTTTACAAATACACGGACAAATATAATGGTTCCCATTTTGGTAGAGCCCTGGGCGGATTAGGTTTTGCCCAATCACTTCAGACATGTATTGATTGCATTGCCCGCCCCAAGATTGTTGCCACAAGTCACCCGAGTAATGTGGAACTAAAGCCGCTCTCCACCAAATCATATTGGTGATGAGAGGTGCCTTCAGGTCAGTTTTGACTTGTAGCCTCCCTGTGTACAAAAGGAAGAGTCCCTGCCTGGCCCTGCGCCGTCCTCACAACTGTTGTGATTGTGGTTTACTTGAGCCCCTGGTTGCAACCACTGTCAGTCCATCTCCTTGGGGATCTTTCTTTCTTCATTGACCCTCGTCTGTATCAGGCCTGATGTCCTTTTCCAGGAACTGCCCTTCCTGGTAACAGGTCCAAATTGCATGAGAAGTCTAAGGAGTGTTCTGGGTGTACTTTGTCCAAGACAGATTTGCCAGCCCGTGGAATATTCAGTATGCTTCACTAGCCCTGTGATTCAGATGTATGCGTCCTTCTCTGCTCCTTCTTACTCCTACTCCTTGTCTAGCCCTTACATGTATTTGAGGCCATTGAAAATATCATGGCCTGGATCTTAGTCTTCAAAGCGGTAACTTTGCTGTTAGCACTTTATATATAGACTGCTTATAAAAGAAACAATTACGCTTGTGAGTCAGATGCTCCTTAGAAAACTCAACCATGTGAGATCAAAAGGGCAACATTTGCACCAAACTAAAGATTAGAGGGCCAGAAGGGCCAGGGAAGCCTGGTAACTGTGAATAGGGAACCAGGGTAGAAGTGGGAAGAGCAGTGGCGCATCTTGGAGATGGCAGGCAATATCACAGAACAGTGTGTGTGTGCACTGTTGATTGGAGAACTGATTTGCTTTGTAAACTTTCACCTAGAGCACAGTAAAATGCCCAAGAAAAAAGAAAAGAAAAATACTGTGCTGGGTGTAAAAAAGTGTCTAGTGAGAAGAAGTAGCTTTAGTGAGCACCACTCATGGAAAAACAATTCAAAGGACATTCTTTTTTTTTAATCATTTTATCGGAGGCGCATACAACTCTTTTTTTTAAAATCATTTTATTGGGGGCTCATACAACTCTTATCACAATTCATCCATCCATCCATTATGTCAAGCACATCTGTACATTTGTTGCCATCATCATTCTCAAAACATTTGCTTTCTACTTGAGCCCTTGGTATCAGCTCCTCATTTTTTCCCTCCCCCCATG